GAGAATAATTAGAACTGCAGAAAAAACAATTGCTACCAACCTGCCTTCCATTGAGGACCTGTATACTGCACGAGTCAAAAAGAGGGCTGTGTAAATATTTACAGTCCCCTCGCATCCTGGACATAAATTGCTTCAACTCCTACCCTCAAAACGAAGCTATAGAGCACTGCACATCAGAGCCTTGGTGACGCAGCAGACTAAAGCACTGTTAAGTAACACCAGCTGCCTGCAATTACTGCAAGTTCAAATCTCACCAGGCTCAAGGTGTACTCAGCCTTCCATCCTTTCGAGGTAGGTAAAATGAGGACCCGGTTTGTGGGGGCAATAAGCTGACTTTGTATAAAAAAGAACACCGCTTTGGGGGGGGGGGAAAGCCCTACTAGGCAGGTATATACAAAAGTATGAAGGCTATTGCTTAACACATTGTAAGCTGCCTTGAGTCTCTGGAGAAGGGCGGCATATAAATCAAACCAATAAATAAATAAATAAATAAACAACTAGACACAAGAACAGTTTTTCCCCAAACACCATCATTCTGCTAAACAATTAATTCCCTCAACAGTGTCAAACTATTTACTAAGTCTGCACTACTATTAATCTTGTCATCTTGTCATCGTTCCCATCACCCATCTCCTCTCACTTATGAGTGTATGACTGTAACCTTGTTGCTGGTATCCTTACGATTTATATTGATATTGTTTCCTGATTGCTTATTTGTAACCTATGACTATCATTAAGTGTTGTAACTTATGATTCTTGATGAACATATCTTTTATTTTATGTACACTGAGAGCATATGCACCAAGACAAATTCCTTGTGCGTCCAATCACACTTGGCCAATAAAGAATTCTAATCTAATCTAATTAATCCCTCTCAGGAACCTCCCCTCCTGCTTCAATGAAGCAACATAGCAGGACTTGAGGCAATTAGATTTAGATGTTTTCAAAGCTCATCTTCATTCTTCCTATTGCACCAAGTGATCAGAAGGTTTATAGGTGCGTCCAATGTAGCATTCTAACAACTGATCCAACTGCTGCCCTAGAACAGGACACCTTCTGATCATGGATGTCCAAAGAAGAAGGGGGAAAATGATAAAATATGTCTCAAAACAAAAACTGTGTTTCCTTTGTGCATGCACTTCAACTTTGCATGGACATCTATAAGGGGCAGAGCTTTCATCATGACGCAGTTGATGAATCGATAATTAAATGTAATAAATAAATAAATTATGATGCACATTTTGTGCTTCTGATGAAATCTCAGGATTATATGAAACTCCATGAATTTAACCATTGTTACTTATTTACAAATTGCTTTCCATTAGCTTGTATCAGTCTTTTCTTTTCTTTTTTTTAAACAATTGGGACAGTGAGATTGAATGCAACAGAATCATAATTTCCCATCAGAGGTTTCTCACAGAATACTTTTAAAATTGCATAAAAAGATTATGAAACTCCCATTTTATGACCCTGTAATCTCTTAATCTGGCGTAGAGTCTGGACTACTGGATGGAGTTGAGCATTTACTGGCCAGATGCCCTTCCTGACGCCACACAGAGTTTGCAGCAGATATTTTTTCTTTGTACCCTGGTGAGAAACATCTGCCATGACCTCAGATTGAACTTCCAACCTTCTAGGTGGGAGGCAAGAGTCTTCACCATTAGGCCACCATGCCACTCTATAAGAAGACTATGAAAAAAATATTGAAATTTAGAATATTCAGAGCCACTATATTTCTCTATATATTTCACTATAGTTTTAGGCTGTTTAGCTTTCTGGTTCTTTCTGGCCTGTGGTGAATAACTTTCAGTCTTGTTCTTCAACTCCCAATAATTTTATCATAAACTACAGTAGGAAGACCTGTGTTTCTAGTTTATGGTTTAATTGCTTATTTAACATTTATAAGGATTTTTTTTTAATGAAATTGCCAGGAAAGTTTTGCTGATGCCCCATTTTCTCCAAATAATGAAGAAAAGGATCTGGGGGGAAAAAACAACACCATACAGACACAACTAACTTGTAAAGGCTATTAAACATTATAAATTACTAAACATTGTTTTGGTTTTGTAACCAAATTGATTGGATATAATCATTTTGCAAACATAACAGTTAAATTTAGTTCTAAATCCATGAGTGATAATAAATTAGCAAGCTGGCATGCTAATATATATAGGGCACCTCAAGCCTCCCACAAGCATTTTCTCAGAAACACTTCAAATAAATGTTATGCCTGGGACAAATATATAGCATTCAAATTCCTGCATCGTTTCCCTCTTAACTGCTGAGTTTAGCAATTTTCACCTGGCATTGCTTGGATTAGGATTAATACTAATGTCGCACGAAGTGGCATGATCATTGTGAACAGTTCTTGTTCATTAAAAACAAAGGCATTTTAGCCAATCTCTTAATTTGAATAGCTCCATTCAGGAGGAAAAAAAAAACGAAACAGAGTTTCTGGATTTCAATATTTCAAACAGCTTAGACTGCAATGAAGAAATAGCATGCCTTTTTTCTAATAAGGTCAGACAAACCAGATTCATTGGGCTTTTTCTATTATTGATAGAATCACTTGACTAACGCCATTCCTGTCAGGCTGCAGCAGTAGAAAAGATGGAAGGTAGCCTCTCTTGTCTTCCCTTGAACTGTTTCATTGCAGTTGGTCATCAGAAGAACTAAGTCAATTTACACAGTTTCAGATATGACCACTAAAATATGGAGGAGTGAATGTGGCATCTCTTTGCAACACCAAGAAGTTGGATCTTTTCCTAAGACCATACTGTCCAAGACATCTTTTTGGCTGAAGAGTAGCCTACTTTGTGGAGTTTTTTTTTTTTTAATAAAGGGATAAGTAAGCAAAATATTTAAATATTTTAGAATCGTAGAGCCAGAAGGGCTATTCAGAGCATTGAGTTCAACCTCCTGCTCAGTGCAAAATCCAGATGAAAGCAGCCCAGACAAATGACTGCCTAGATTCTGCTTAAACAGAGTCAATGAAGGGGAAACCACCATTTTTGTGGGTAATTGGTTCCAGGGTCAAACGGTTCTTATTATTAGGATGTTTTTCCAGGATTCAGACAGCCTCTGCTTTTTTTTTTTTTTTGTAATTTGAAAACATTAATCTATGACTTGTACTCTGGAATGAGAGAGAACAAATGCTGACCTTCTCTGGAACATTTTTTCAAGATATTGAAGATATATTTGAAGAGTGCTATCAAATCGCTTCTCCCCACCAAACTGTCTTTTCTCTGTTTCTTCAGTCTTTCTTCTCACAACTCTAATCATCCTCACTGCTATCCTATAAATCTGTTCTAATTTCTCTGACTCTTCCTTAAAGTATAATGCCAAGAACTGGGCACACTTGGCAGGATCTGATCAAAGCAAAATAGAGCAATTATTTTCTGTGATTTGGACAATACACTTTATAATCCCTAAAAGTGCATTTCTCTTGTTCCTTTCCAGTCTCAAATTATCCCAATATCTTTTCATTGAACCACGTATCCTTCAACCCATTTCTTTAATCTATCAAGAATATTGTGATATGCTAAAAAAATTGTAATAGCCATAAGGTGTGTCATCCGCAAATATAATACACAGTCCCTCCACGTCTTTATGAAAATCCTTAATTTTTAAAAAAATTTTTTTAAAAAATCCAGTTTGCTGGATTTTTCTACACCCCCCCTTTATTTTTGAGGAAAAGAGATATTTCCTCTCCTCTAGTCAACTAACACTTCACCAAATCATTAGGATTTCTCAAGGTTAATGCGTAAGGATTCCACTAAAATAACTCCTTTAGAACCTGAAGATGCTATTAATCTGCTCCTGGAGATATAATCTCATTCATACAGCAGAAAACAAATATTTCTCAGCTATGTCGCACTCAGTTCTCAAGGTTCACTTCTGTTCCTTTAGTTTGCATCGTTTCTATATAGGCCTATTTGTTTTTGTATTTGCATTAAACTTGTTGTATAGTTACATCTTCTTGTGCTGTCCTCCCTATTTTTCCCTCACTGGAACAAAAAATTGCAACCAATCCTTGGCCTCCTTAGTTTGCACTGATGAATCCTCATCCTCTATCATCAGCTGAAACATGGTCATTTAGGACTCCAATCCTTTGATTTTTTCCTTCAAGGATTGCCACAAGCTTATTTTGCTGTAAACCTATATCAGGTTGTTTGTAGGCACGAAGATAAATATGTCACAATTGCAGGTCACAATCACAAGCTCTTGCCTATTTACCCTCAGATTTGTTTCTAAGGGCACAAACAGAAAGTCTTCTTTTCCCCGCTTTTTATCCCTTCCTCAATCTCAGAGGTTAACCAAGTGCAAACCCTTGACTTTGAGGGAACATTTATTAGGAATTCCTTCTTAAATACCCCTGACCAATTCTTTTTAGTTCTCTCTGTGTATCGGCTGAGGACTCGCTCTCTGAATCTATCTTGAAACAACAAGAGTAGCTCCTACTTTTCAAGCAAGACCTCTGGAAACTCAATAGAAAAATACCACAGGTAGTCTCAACCTATGACCACAGCTGGGCCCAAAATTCTTGTTGCTAAGTGAAATAGTTGATAAGTGAGTCTTGCTCCACTTTACAACCTTTCTTGCTGCAGTTGTTAAGTGAATCACTGCAGTTGTTAAATTAGTAACATGGCTGTTAAATGAATCTGGCTTCCCCATTGACTTTGCTGGTCAGAAGGTTGCCAAAATTGATCACATAACCCCAGGACATGAAACCGTCATAACAATAAGTCAGTTGCCAAGTGATTGAATTTTGATCACATGACCATAGAGATGCTGCAATGGTCGTAAGTGTGAAAAACAATCATAAGTCATTTTTTCAGTGCCATTGTGACTTCGAATGGTCTCTAAATGAATTGTTGTAAGTCAAAGACTAACTGTAGCCAGTATGACATAGGGCAACCTATAACTTTTGCAAACAAACAAGCCAAGGAATAAGTCAAATGATGCACTGACATATATAATTGCGATGACTTTATGCCTACCTTGTGCATGTACCACCATTGCGGCATGGATGATAGTCGCAAACCGGAATATTACAGTTGTCAATGTTCTGTCCTTCCAATGCTTCCTCTATAATGGAGAGTTCTTGAGTGTTGACTTGCAACTCTCTGATGCAGCCCCTGAAGCCATAAATCTTTCCAGAATTTGGATGAATGTTTATGCGATGAGAAGGGACATTTCCAAGGAATATTGGCCCAAAGATAAGCTAAAAAAGATCATACAGATAAAAGCTCCAATAAGAACAGCTGAAATTGTGTACTGTTTTCTATTCATGAAAGAAAATCTGAGGGAAGGTCCCCAGGAAGTTAGGTCAAGTAAATTACTCTTGTCTATGGGATCGTTTCATATTGTAGCCCTCTGCAATGTGGCAAATTCCAGAATTGCAAAGACAGGCCACCCTTCCTTTTAGTTCTGAATCTATCTGGCAAGGTGTCAGAAAATACAGACAGAAATATATTACGATTCTTAGATCAATTCTTTTAAGAAGTCTTCTTCTGCATTTAAAGAAAGAAAATTTCAGCAGGCCTGGTCCAGACTTTTGTCCATTCCAAGATTTTCTGCTGTGTGGTATAACAACAACAACAACAACAACAACAACAACAACAACAACACAATGCTGGCAGCAACCTGTATCAACCATTAGCACCAATCAATAGTATTTGTGATGCATTTTTGAATGTTCAGTTGACTTGAGTTTCATGAATAAAGTATATAATAATAATAAAAAAATTATATGCTTCTTGACTCAGAATGGTTTGGGCAGGAAAAGCATGGGGAGCGGAGGTTTGGCCTCATCCAAAGAGCATTATTTGTTTTTTAAGTGAAGTCTGGCCCATTTTCTCTATAAGTCTGGAAAATGTCAAGGGGATAAAAGCATTATAGAATGTGACTGTTCTAAACAACAAGAAAAGAAGCAGCAGATATCCCAAAGCATTCGAAGTAGAAAATTAGCAGCAAAGTGCTTTACTTTTACTGAAAAACCCCATGACAAGTCACTTGTTAAAGAACTTGAGTATCAAGGAAATAAAAAGAAAATAACTAGAGTTATAGAAGCCTTTGTCCAGGAAAGGAGAGGCTATTATTGCTGAATCTACTTCCCAAATTAGCAGCCGATACATGCAGCTATATTAATAAAGAAAGCCCTACTCTTTCTGGGCAGCAAAACTCCCCCCCCAAAAAATGATGTCACAGCAAGAAAACTAATTTGGTCTATAGAGGTTCTCAATCATCCAGGTCACAGTTGTCCCAAAGGTGCTTTTTCAAAAGGTAACTGGACTTTCTTCGTTTTTCCTTCAAGACTTTTTGCTTCTCATCCAAGAAGCTTCTTTAGTTCTGAAGAAGAATTAAAGAAGCTTCTTGGATGAGAAGTGAAATGTCTTCAAAGAAAAGTCGAGTTGCTTCTTGAAAAGTCATCTATGGAAAACTAAGTTTGTATTTCCTTCATTTTTTGTGCCCTAAATAAGATAACCTAATTGACTAATGTTTAGGTTGTTTAGGAGTTAGACGGCTATAAATGAACTAACTAAACAAATTTCATGAATTGTTTGCTTCTACATTTATTTAACATAAAGCCTAACAATTGCTCCTTAATAATATTTTTTCCCCCCTTCTTTGGCTACCTTTTTGTTGGGCAGAGAAAATTATTATAAAACAATTGAGTGTGTGTTAGAGATGATAGGTATTTCATCTTAACATGTATGGAATTATCTAAATTGCAAAAAGGTGTCAGTCTTAATATAGACACTCATCACTGTGGTACATGTTCCCGCTGTTCATAAATGAACTGCTTTGTGTAAGCAATCCATCAACTGTCTTGGCTGAACATGAAGCTTTAGTAGCCCCTTAAGACCACCACTAGGGAGTTCTCCCATAAAAATCCCACTGAAATTAAGCTGTAGCAAGAGCCATATTGTTCACAGCAGTGGGAAATGCAAGAGAATTCCACCCCACCCCACCCCAGTTGATTGCATCTTAAATGAACATCACTATTAATATGCTTCAACTAATTCAAAATTATGTCATGGGCGTTTTGTAAGAGATATTAAAATAGATGGGCTAACATTTGATTTGAGGGTCTGCTTGGCAAGTTCACCTGAGTCATTTGCGCTGGCAGAGAGGTCCTCTGATGGACAGAAGGAATTTCATCTGCAGCCATTTCAATCAGACAATAACCTTCAGGGCTGCCCAAAGACAACATATAGCTGGAAGGAAACAGAAAACTCATTACTGTTTTGGAAGTGAACAGGAAAGATTATGAAAACATGCCGCCAACATGAATGGTATGTTTATTGTGGAAGACAGGCCTGGCTTTTCACACGCATCAACACCTGTAAAAGAACACAGAGTGGTTAGCAGATAGATAGCTGAGAACATGACAGCTCAGCTGACTGAGTCTATGAACCAGAGCCAATGCTTGGGGCTACATGTATTGCTTTGCAATGGCAGCGTGTATTTAATTGCCGGAAGATTTATTACCCACCTTTTATCAAAGGACTGAAGAATGGCTATAATCAATCAATCAAAGCTCTGGAATGACTGGAAAACAAAGCCACATAGCAAGGCAACATTAGCTTGGGTTTAAAATCAAGGGGAACAGAAAGACCAAAGAGAATAGCTGATCACGCAAGGACCTTCTCCCTGTAAACTTCCTTGAGTTGTACACATTTACCAATGGTGCAGTCCAAGCCCAGAAGAAAATAGGACATTTATTTATTTATTTATTTATTTATTCAATTTCAATAGCTGTCCATTTCAGCAAATGACTCTGGGTGACTCTGGGACTCCCGCAATTCAAAAAATGCAGGATATCCCACCAGAAATGATAGTGACAGACAGACAGTTCCCTTCCCCTGCCTACAGGGGAAACAGCAGGGCAATGCAGAATGAATGGCTGTATCTCTGATTTCCCTCAGATAAGGTTTATCTGAGCTCATGAAAGGTGCTATCAAAGTATAATCTACAAAGGAGTGTCAAACATCAAAGTTAAAGGCATTTGTAATATAAATACCCGAAAATCCAATACCGTATTAAGAACGTGAAGAGGGGAGTGTCGGTAAAAGTGATAAAGTGTGGTTATGAGGGGGATAGGAATGCTACATATATTCTCAATGACAAAAATATCCATCCCTAAAGGAGGGCTTTCCTGTAATTGTTCTTAGTTATTATTTTTCTGAGAGGGGGAAAACCCCCAAGAGTGTTAATTATTATTTCAGGGGTTGATAAATGAGACACCATAATGTGCAAGAATTTAATTAAAAAGAGTCCTCAGATCAGCGAAGACATTCTTTCTCTCCATGCTTCTTTTGGAAATCCCATTTAACAGCTGAACCCCAATGATGAGCTCCTCGCAGGAATCCGTGGCGTGCTTTATGATCCCCATCCATCTTTGTGGAAAGAGCCAATCTGCATGAGAATGCTATTTTCCCAATCCCAATGAAACGAGGAGAAAGCCATTAAGGCCAGGATGATCCATAATCTCTTTGGATTTCTTGTCATCAAAATAAATCAAGGTACTGAATTAGTATTTTTTTTTCTTTTGTATGTTAATACGATATCAACATACATCCTATTTCTGGGCTGTCACACTAAATTTTGCAATCTTATTGCCTATCTTCCTTGGCAGAGAATCAAAGGAACAGTCTTCGGTACAATTTTCAATGTCCTTGTCTATATGCATACAATGAAGAGATCTTTCTTTCTTTCTTTCTTTCTTTCTTTCTTTCTTTCTTTCTTTCTTTCTTTCTTTCTCTCTCTCTCTCTCTCTCTCTCTCTCTCTCCCTCCCTCCCTCCCTCCCTCCCTCCCTCCCTCCCTCCCTAAATACAATAGACAAAAATGATAAGTAAAGGCAAGAACCAGAGAAGGCACATTTAAAGGGACCTGATATTGTTTATTTGAAGGAACCTGAAGCACATCAACCCTGCCAGATCAAATCAATCATGCAGACACTATAGAAGACAGATGGTCCTTCAAGTAACCAGTCCCTATGCCATGTAGAATCATGTAGGCTAATGACCAGAATCTTGAATCAGATGCAAACTAGCAATTTTCTAACTGCTGGTTTGAAAAATATGACAATTAAGATTGAATCATAATGTCTCTCTCAACAGAGGGGGGACACCACCTCTCTCCTGTTTATAACACAGTCCTTTCACCAACTCCAATATGGTTCCATATCCATTTGCACTATTCAGGTGACCCTGAGGCACAGATAAACCTCTGAGTGACCTCAACAATTCCCAGAAAGAGTGCTAATGACCAGAGGACTGCAAGGAATATAAATCAATCCATCAGTCAACATTCAGCCAGAACTAAAGAAGCTTCTCGGAGAAGAAACAAATGTCTTCAAAGAAAAACAAAGTCCAGTTGAGTTTTGAAAAAGCACCCTTGGGAAAACCATGAACAGGATGATTGAGACTCTCCATAAACAAACTAGCAACTAGTATAGATCATGAATCAGAGGTATTAAATGGGCATGTTGAGGCATGCCCATTGCTGTCTGTGCTTCTGCATTCTGGACCACCTGTAACTCCTGGGTGGTTTACAAGGTCATTCCCACGATACACATTGCAGTAATCAAGTCACGAGTTTAGTAGGGCAGGATGGTAACCCCCCTCTCTAGAAAAGGCTGAAACTGGCACAGATGAAATTGTGCAAAGGCTTTCCTGCCACAGCTGCCAGATCCTTATCAAAGCAGGAGCTGTAAGTCCAGGAATATCCCCCAGATTGTGCACCAGCCCTGAATGTGTAAGTGAGACACTATCAAAGGTAAAAGATGAAATATCTCCAAGTCTAGAGAGCCAAATCCCTACCATCCTATCAAAGGCACTTAGTCTTGGATGGATTGTTTTAGAGATGGTTCCTCTCTATCCATACATGCTTAGCATCTAGGCACCAGGACCTAGATCAACAGACTCATTTGGATGGCCCAGGGTCAAAAGATATAATTGTATATCTTCAGTGTACTGATACTATTGAACTTCAAATGCAGATGACCTCGCCTAGTGGTTTCACACAGGGAGAAAGAATAGTAGCACCTTACAGAAGATCTAACTCTTACCTTTCTTCTTATAACCAACACTGAATGAAACCAGCCCTGGAGAAAAGAAGAGAAATGATGCCTACAGTAAATAATCCTCACAGCAGCTCAGGAGATGCACTAAGGTCCTCCCTACCAAGTGGAGACCAGGTCCACTTAAATACGCTTCTGGCTCAGCAGATGAAATAATGGTGGAGAAATAGTGACATTTGGCCACCCTTATCACCACAAAGTAATCCCTAATATGATCTCTTATCCATGTATGGTCAGATTCATTTTAAGTTTCTTCCAACAGCTCTCCAGGTCTCTCTTCTGGAACTTCATCCCCCAGAGCTCCTTGGTCAACCAGTGTACAAGGAAAGGCTGAACAGAGATAATAAAGTCCAAAGCCCTGACACCTTCCCATTCCAGTCAGTGATTAGGATCTTGGCTGAACTCCCCATAAACTTGCAGAAAAGTTTCTGCATTAGCTGGAAGACAATGGATTAATTCAATTCCTGAATTGCTGGATTACAGATTTAAATTAAAGAAGCCCTTTCTGCCTTCCACTGAGGACCTATATACTGCACAAGCCAAGAAGAGGGCTGTGAAAATATCTACAGACCCCTCACATCCTGGACATGAACTGTTTCAACTTCTACCCTCAAAACGATGCTATAGGGCACTGCACGTCAGAAGAACTAGACACAAGGACAGTTTTTTTCCCCCATGTCATGATTCTGCTAAACAACTAATTCCCACAGCCTGTCAAACTATCTAGAAAGTCAGTATTACCGTCATTATTCTCATCTTCCCTATACCCCATCACCTTATCTTCTTATGACTGTAACTTTGTTGCTTGTATCTTATGATTTAAATTGTTTAATTAGTATCCTAGTATAATTTATGTTGATTGCTTATTTAGTAACCATGACTATCACTAAGTGTTGTATCTAGTGTTTTATGATGAATATATTTTTACAATGACTATGATAATGATTTATCACTGTTGTTGTATGTATACTGAGAGCTTATGCACCGGACACAAATTCCTGTGTGTCAATCACACTTGGCCAATAAAGAATTCTATTCTATTCTATTCTATTCTATTCTATTCTATTCTATTCCTATCCTATCCCTAGTCTAGTCTAGTCTAGTCTAGTCTAGTCTAGTCTAGTCTAGTCTAGTCTTTACCCAGATTCCCTCAGAACAAGAAAAGAAGGTTGTGAATGTATCAATTCAACCCCATGTACTACTCATAAGCCTAATACATACTTTCCAGAACCTGCCCAGGTATCTAATTTCCAGTTTTTTTCCCTCCCCAGCAAGAAGTCTAGTTGATCAAATTAGGGGAAAACATCAAATGATCAACTGAGTTCAGTACATTATATAAAAACACTTTTTTTCTAGATAAGAAAGTGACCTTATGCCAAGAAAGATGACAAGTGGGGAAAAAAATGAATAGTAGTGTTTTCAGTTACTTGGCAAAATGGCAAGTAGTATTTTCTTAGTGTTGAGCTTGTTTTGATGTTTCAAGGTGTTTCTGTGTTCCTGGTAAACATGTCAGTTTTAATTTTCAGCTGTGTTTAAAAAAACCAATAAGATTGTTTTGCCTTCCTTTGGTGAAAACTGCAGAAAGGTTGCGGAACATCACTTGATTTCACAAGCAGATTAAAAGCATGTTTTCTTTGTATATAATTTTTATTAAAACTTTTAAGCAAGAAGATAAAAGCTAATATAAAATAAGAAAGAAAAAAGTAAGAGAAGAGAAAGCAAAAATATTTCTTTTTCGTTCTTTGTTATTTTTCTTCAATGTTTTCTTTTCTTTCAAAGTTGAAAGCATTTCTGTTGCTTTTGATTTTTAGAATCGTTTTCAAGATGCCGAGTTGTGGGCCCAGCCAGTGTCCTTGGAAAGCTACATTTCCTCCAAGATTCACCAGGACCTCCTCTAGCTGTCCAGTAAGGGAATAAAATACAGATACTTGACCAATAACCACAATTGAGACCAGCATTCCTGTCATCAATCGAGGCAATTGTGAAGTGTGTCATGCCCAATTTTATGACCATTTTTGCCATTGTTGTTAAATGAATCACTGCACTTCGTAATTGAACCATGCGGTCTTTAACCAAATCTGACTTTTCCCATTGACTTTGCTTGTCAGAGACTGGTGGGAAGTTCGTAAATG